CGCACAAGCACAGAGCCACAGCGCCCGGTCACCTTACAAGGGACGGTGTGGGGTTTGCCGATCTTGTTCCCCCAGTAGCCTCGCTGCACAGGGACAATGGAGAGCTTGGCCAAGATTATGGCCCCACGGATGGCAGTGGCTACTTCCTTTGAGCACTTAACACCCAGACCAACATGTCCATTGTAGTCCCCAATGGCGACAAATGCCTTGAATCGGGTCCTCTGGCCTGCACGTGTCTGCTTTTGCATGGGCATAATCTTCAAAACCTCGTCCTTGAGGGATGCCCCCAAGAAAAAGTCAATGATCTCAGATTCCTTGATAGGCAGAGAAAAGAGATAAATTTCCTCCAGGGACTTGATTTTCATGTCCTTGACCAGGCGGCCCAACTTGGTGACGGGGATCCACTCCTTATCCTCGGCCTTGCCTCCGCGAGCTCCACGGCCTCGACCGCGACCCCGACCCCGGCCGCGACCTCGGCCCCGGATGCCACTGCCAAATCCTCCTCGGAAGCCTCCTCGGCCTCCCATTCCAGGGCCCCCCGGGCCTCCCGCAGCACCGGCGTCATCCGCCATTTGGTGTTCCTTGGGAAAAAGAGCTGTAAACACATACTTCTTGAGTCTTCCACTAAGTTGCATCAAAGTTTGCTAATATAATAAAGCATCACAAAGTGTACTCAACAGTCCTAACCATCTGAGGTCTCCTACTTCTAACTGTATGTACTATTTTGTTTGCAGCCTCAATTCAATCCTGTTAATAAAAAAACAAAACAAAAACATGCATAAGAAAATACCTGTTGACACTTCAACCTTATAGTTATAATAACAAAAGAAAAATGAGAATGTGTACACACTGAAATGACTGTAATCCCCCAGATCCAAACCAAACAGTCTCCTTTTGAAGGAAATACATAAAAGGTATAATAACCTTGGCATGGGTGCCTTTTAAATTGATATTTTATTTGTTCACTGCTGTGAGAAAAAATGTGAAATACTATTGGTACCTCCTATACTATGACAAATATTCAGAGATTTTAAATCAATTTTAGATGGAACCATAACAATAAAGAATTTACAAACTGAATAAAGTCACAATGCACATTCTCAGAATTCCTGAGACCTAAGGAAAAGCATGCTGGGAAAATATGAATATCACGATTCAAAGTGTTTTGTATGTTTAATCCAAACACCTCATCAAGGTGACAGCTTTGTTTGGGTGCATTTTTAGTTGTTTGATTTCTTACTGCTGCCTCTCATTTGCTCAAAGACTGTCTTCGTCTGCATTTGCTAAGGCCAGTATAGCAAACAGAGTACGATGGGGGTGATCGTTGAAATTCTAGAGATGAGCTGACAGAAAATGAAGAACTATGACTTTTGTGCACAAAACAAATGGGTAAAAATCCACAACCCTTTTCATTTTCTGTACCATTATGATATGTGTACCTGTGCCAGATACCACAATGGGTGAGGTGTGTGTGAGAGAGACAGAGGTCTGTGAGGAAGAAGAGAGAGAAATTAAATAACTTACATGCAGTGAGGGGAGATAAAAGGAAATCTTCATTCCTGTCCTTACACAGCATAATAAATAGGACTGAATTTTTTTGTATTTCCATTTCCTAGAATGGAACCACAGTATATACTTGATATAGTGTGCAATAATATTAATATAAAAGAAAAGAAATTGTTATTTTGATTTTCAGGTTGCCTTACATTTTTGAGGACTCCATGAAATCCTAGACCTCCCTTATCTTGCTTCCCATTCTAGTAGCCAATTGGTACATAAAAGGCAAAAAATTATATCATGGAATCTTTATTCCATCTCTTCATCATTAAAAAATACAAAAGTAGTAAATAATACATTTCAAATAGTCTCAAATAAATTACTCTGAAGTAATGTTCTTCAAATGACACAACCACCTAGTGGCTGTGAATAAAACTTCACTAACTACATTTTTTTCCTTGTTATTTATCTTACTTGAAAGTCTTTCTGATTGGTAGTCTAGACCGATTTGCCCGTGAGTCATAGCATTTGCTCCTAAGTGAATCTGCATTGAGAATTGATATTCTTGACCTGCTTCTATTCCAGTGAATTCCCAGGAGGACAAACATGGATCTGAGGACCACAGTGATCTTGACTTCTGCAAGTTGGTGCATAATAAAATGAAATACTTATTACACCCTTTATGCTGAAGGTACAGGAATGTGCACCAGTAGCAGAGATTGGTTATACCTGTTATGAGTCCTACCATTCTTTTCATCCAGCAGGACCATTTTACTTTTAAGCTTCAAATTGATTGCCCTTATATATATATAATTCACATAACTTTAATGTTAGGCATCATCCATGAAGTCTAAGATTTTTAAATAAAAACTCACAAAATACTGCTACCTTGATGCTTTCTTGCTAACCTTTGAACTCTGGAGCTCTCTGTGAGCTCAGAGGATTAGTGTAAGTACAATTTAACTAAAATGACTGACGGTTCCAATTATTGAGATTGAATACCATCTTTTCCAGAGCAGAAAAATATTTTTTTCATTTACAAAAATAATTCACTGTAAAAATTCCAGAAAATCATAAAGCAGGGAGGGGAATCCTGTGATTATCTGTGATCACATTATTTTTAATTGTGTTTCAAATCCCCCAGAATTTAGAAAAATCAGAAAATCTAGCATTCTGGGTACTTTCCTGTGGCAACTGCGCAGAAATAGGAAAAGACTGACCTAAATTCTCTCATCTCTGTATCTCCATATAAAACTGCATCATTGCAGCTAATTAAGAATAACTATGTGTACTTGAACCTATGTGTCCTATGAGCACTGAACCAAGTGCTAGGGATACAAAGAAGTATACATAATCCATGACACTGATGGATTGATGCCGAAGCTCTTAAAGCACAGGGTGGAATACTGGGTTGAAGTAGACAACTTGCCTTCATCATGCCATTGACTTCAGAAGCCCCAGAATTTTCACACCGGGGGGACACAGATTACATATTCACGTCTCATGTCCTTCTTCACTCAACAGGCACTGATATGTAATTTTCAACTGCTTTTCATATGAAACGTTTATGATCCTCATTCAGTGCCCAAAGACCATCCATCCAGCTCCAGCTCTTCTTAACATTTACTGTGATTCTCGCATCGAATAATTAAAGCAAATCACAAAAGCCATCAGATTTTATAGAACTACAAAATCATACATGATGTACAACATGAAAAATATCAGAAAAAGCAAAATTCTAAAGATTATAAAAAACTTCTCTTTTTTTCTATTCTTTTATTTCTCTTTTATTTTTGTTACTTTGTGTCTTAATGTAAGTTTGTGCAGCCCTGACCCACTGGTGGTGCCTGGTTTGTTGCAAAGTGAAAGATCTCTGGTTCTATTCCCAGTCAGTGCACATGCCTAGGTTGCAGGTTCAGTCCCTAGTTGGGGACACATTAGAGAGGCAACCAATGGGTGTTTCTCTCTCGAATCAATATTTCTCTCCCTCTCTTTATTCTTCCCTTCCTCTCTCTCTAAATTACAAGATCTTAAAAAAAATGGGTTTGTGCAATTCAAAAGCTATCCCAGGCAAGCAAAGACAAATTAGATTCTACTTATGGTATTTAGTTAACTTTTTTCTCTACTTACACTAAAATATACATACTAAAGGCAGGTCTGAACAAAATATTTCATTATATCAAAATAGATAACAATCTTGTATTTAATTTCAATATCTATCACTTTTCACCAACAAATCAAAAAAGGAAAACAAAAAGCTAACATCCTTATACTCTACAATGAACTTAGAATCAAGACACAAATGCATGCTCTGAGTTCTGTGTGTCTGTATACATACAGGCACTGTGTATCTGTACATCTTGTCACTCATAGACACCTAGTTACCTGTCATTGGTCTGAATGGTATGTTCCCTAATAAGGCCCACTTCCTCTTTGGCATTTCTCAGGAGAACCTGTTTGTTTTCAAATTCTGATGATTTTATATATTGTAATTTTTAATTCTCTGGTACTGACTATCTGAGAACCATGCTAACGAGAGAAATGCCTTCATTTTTCCATCTCTTTCTGTTTTTATTGTTGCCACTGTTACAGACGCCTCCCCTTCCCCCCACTCTGCCACGTCCAGCCAGCCCTCACTCTCATCCCCAGGCCTTCACCACACTATTGTCTGTGTTGATGGGCTACGCATAACACTGCTTTCTCCATCATAATTTCCAGCCAATGCTACTGTGTTAAAAACATTCCATTTATATTATACTTATAGGTATAAATGGCATCTAATCACTCAGGTCAAAGAAATCCCTACACTAATGTTTAACTTATTTATGTATCAGCTGAATTATATGAAGTACAGTATTGACTTTCAAAACAACTTGATATGGACAGCTTATGTTTGTAAAGAACTGTGCAAAAACAAAGTGCTCTATAACATTTAGAGACAACTATATTATGGTTTTCATGTTACACTTACTTAGTGAAGTAAGTATTTCCAAAGTCAGTTAAACTAAGGAACTAAGAGGGAGAAACAGGAAGGTTGAAAGGGGCGGGAGTACTGAGTCCTCTCACTCCTGGTTGGGTGGTTGGATGGTTGGATGCAAATGGATAGCAAAGGCTGACTTGCACATTCCGTAATCAGCTAGTTTTATAGATAAATGAATGGAGAAATTATCAGAAACAATTTGCTGAAAGAGCAGCTGCTGGTCGGAAGTAAAAGGAAGGCATATTTGAGATTATTTTTCAAATATGCTCCTTCTTTTGTAACATTCTGTTTCATTCTGCCCTAAAGTTATTTAGAGCTATAATAGTAATAATATATGGAAAAGTGAAATTATACTTTATTTGCTTTTTAAATAAGTTTGGCTTTGATGGAAAGATCAAGTGTATTCCTGTTAAACAACTGTCTTAGGGCTGCTAAAAAATCTCACCTTTTCTAGGTAGGTCTGCACGATGACTGCAGGGTTTTTGAAGCAGGTTTCTGCTAATCATTCTGCTAACCACAAATCCTCAGACATGCTGCATGTGGCCGTTTTAGGTTGGGATCATTTCTGTATGCAGAAAGCAAAATCTTACAATGTAATTCATTATCAGGACTATACCAAACCATCTTCCACTTACAGGAAAAAAGCAGGTTAACAATGCTATTCTTCATCTGCTTTCCCCATACAACTTTTTAATAACCCATCTATGTAATTTCATGAAATAATCATCCTCTATTGTTTATTATTATTACTAATATTGGAGTAACTCATAATTTGGGGGTAATTGTACATGCCAGGCCCATTCTATGGGCTTATGAATATTAACTCATTTAATCCTATGAAATGAGTATTATTATCCCTAATTTCCAGAGTAAAAACTAAAACTGGGGTACAAAGAGGTTAGGTTATTCCTGGCAGCCTTACTCCACATATTATGAAGCAATATTCAAGCAGCGTATCATCTGGCTCCCAGCAAATTGGTATAATAATGAATTCTTTAATAATGGAAGCTGTCATACAAGTGTCCAATGCCAGAAGTACAGTAAATTGATGTTCACTAATCAGGTGTGTGTCAGAAGGACACCATTGGAACGCTTCGTGACTCCTACAAATGCCTCTACTTCTGTGCATTGTGTGCTGGAGATAGAACTGTAGAAGCAGCCAAGTTTTCAATAACTACCATAGTGGTAATGTTAGATAAAATATTAGACAGTATATTTTCGAAGTACTTAGACTGACGATCTAATTATTCCAAACTGCTTTCTTTTAACTTCTGTTTTCTCACACATTTCCCCATCCTTTGTGTTGTTGTTTGTTGTTCAAATTTATAGTAGCTATTTCATGTCTGTTTTCCAAATATCCTTCTGAAATTGTGTATAAAGTTTTCTTTAAAAAAGGCATTGGAATAAATCAAATAAATCTACCACAACATGGGCTGATGGACTTGTTGCAAGTAGGAAAAAATGAAGATTTTTCAACCCCTTTTACAAATATTAATCTTTCAGACTTCTTTTTGTAATTTCTTATTCATAGATCAGTAATCTGAAGACTTTTTAAAAATTGTGAATTTATTAAAAATATTTAAAGCACAGTAAGTTTTATAACACTAAAATACTAATTCAGCCAATAAAAAAAGTGACCCTCTGAGCAGCTGGCATCCAACTTCTTGACCATGACCTTGAGAATACCCAGGGCGAGACTCTGCTCTTTTTTTGCCCTGAATATCTGTGTTTCCTTCAGCTGCCACTCAGAGACTCTATGACCAGTTGAATTATACTGTTTAATTTGAAATATTACCCTTTCAGGGAGCCAAAATGAAAATAACATGTGGAAGTAAATACTTTTACCATTATTACTACTACCGCTAATAACAATAATAAAAGCTGTAACTACCATTCATCGAGGACTTGACTGTATGTCAGAACTGTTTTAAGTACATCTCTCTCTGCCTTCCCCCATCTCTATATTGCCTGTCTGGTTTTCTCATATTTACCATACTAGAAACTGAAACTGAGGAAGATCAAATACATATTAATTAATTTAAATAGCAATAATAATTCTACTATATTCCTAACTAACTTTTAAAAAATTACCACAGTTCTCAAAACAAAATTTAGTGAGAAAATGGCACTGTATTGTATTTCTGCAAATCTCTTTGGTGTTTGGATTAATAGAGATAGTTGAATTCTCACCTTTGTTTCTGCATTTAGTTTGCTGTAACATGATGTTTTGGTTAAAGTACATGAAGAAAATCTTCCCTAATACAGGGAGTATGTTAATAATCCTCACAAATAATGTGTATAGATATTTTTCTCTGATATCTCATAAACTTCACTACACTTCATGAGAGAATGAGGGCATGAAAAGGAAATAATATCTTACTGTAAGTATAAAGAGAGTTTTGCCTGATTAAATTTGGGGACCATCAGGAATGTCTATGCCACACTTTAAGAACTGCTGTTCACCAGCTCATTGAATCTTCCCTTTGTCTCACTTTCTTATAACTCCCTATCAGAGAATGAGCCAGTATTACTCTTCAGAGATTTCTTAAGGAATCCTATCCTCTCTTTAGTAGAAGACATCTTTCATTAAGAGGAAAAGTTCCTGGATCTGTGGCAATAAGAATTACCAATAAACTTATTATTAATAGCAGAAAGCAGGTTTGTTCCTTTATTCTCTAGTTAAAAAGAGCAACACCAATGGCTTTGCCTTTGACTAGCCAATTTTGAAAAACCATACTATTTCCTAAATCTAAAATTTCCTTCTCTTTTCCTCCTCCTAAATATGGCTGAACCACAGACACATAAAGCAGTAAGGATGCTGGGGACAAAGTTATTTATAACACAGATTTGGCAGGGTTTGGTAATCAGAGGAGACATGGCAACCACATGCCATTCATGAAGAGAACACAACAGAGAAGCAGGCTGGGGGAAGGGAATGAAGACGTAAGTTTCCCTTCGGCCAGTTGAGTGTGAGGTGCATGTCGGACATGTGAGTGAAGGTAGTGAGACTTACAGACATCAGACAAGATAGACCACTTAGTTTGATAGAAATACTTCATTTACCTTTCTTTTCCATAATTGAATTTTATGTGTAAAGTTTCAATTTTCAATGAAGGCAATGAAAATATTGGTACTGTACACAGACCTAAAGCTGGATGATTTTGCCTCTGAAAAATTGTAGCATCACGTGGAGGCACAAATGGTAAATGTGAAAAAATGTCTTGGCTGTGTTCAGGACAATAAATTGTCAGGTTATCATAGGCAGTGATTGTATGAAACTTGATAGATAAAAAAATTGTTTTTAATACCACTTTAAATTACATACCACTTAAAGTTTAAATGCTTATTGGTAACGATGTATTATTTAAACATGTATTTCCACACTTAATAAAAAGAGATCTAGATAATTTGCAAAGCCTCTGTGAGAATTTTTATTTGAGGACTTCCATTACAATGGCCTAAAGGAAATTCATATAAGCATATTGTGAGTTATTTACATGAGCAATTTATAATCTAGTGGGACCACAGAATGGGCATCCCTGTCTATGTTTGTAATTTCAAACAGATTATGTGTTATTTCAAAGAGATTTGCAGTTGCCGTTAGCCAACAGAAAAGAACACGCATAAAACATGAAGCAAAGTGAAGTCTAAGTGCCATCACAGCCACGTCAAATTAAAGCTGCACTAGTCAAAGTCAAAGAAACTGAGAAGTCACGACCTATGCCAAAGTCACTAGTCAAGGCCAGGAAGACAACTTAGGTGAAGCATATAGCACATTAAATTAATTTGTCTCTTATAATTGTATTGGTCTTAAAATACAGTAAGTGAATTTGCACCTAAAATACATGAATACAATATATTAAAAACAATTAGTTAACATTACAGGTCTATGAGCGTTTCTTGTTTTCAAATTAAAGTTTGTAAACCTGACCCATAATGAGCCCTCAACTCTGCACACACATGTAATGTGCACCCAGTTCCTGGTGGCATTTCTCCTGCTCTGAGCTCTTAGCATGGGAAACATTATACTCACATAGCATGGAAGGAAAATTAGTTTATAAGAGTAAATAAAGTATAATCCAATTTTTGTTTAAAAAAACTAGGGGGGATACATAGCAAATGCTACTTGTAATTATTCTAGGTTATAAGCCTATGGGTAATTTTAAAATTTATATTAATTTTTCTCTACTTTCCACAATAAATATAATTTTGTAATGAAAAGGTTGCTTTTAAAAAGGAGTTGGTCAGAGCTTTAGTAGGAACATTCCATCATATCTCCAACGCAGCACCCATAATAGTTGGCTGCACATTTGTCTGCTTTTTCCTTTGCTGGGATACAGGGTCTGACTTGTTCACACATATGTTGCCAGTGCCAAGCACAGTGCTTGACACGTGCTGAATGCTCGACCAGTTGCTCCATGACTAGTAGCCAGATTTACTGAGGGAACACCATCCATCAAGGATTATCTCATTGAAAGCTTCCTACATTTGTTATCTCCATTCTATAGGTGAAGAAACTGATGTTTACAGGTTATGGAATGAAGCCTACAAAGCAACTTGATGAGATTCAAACAAATCTATGTTTCTCTAGAACAGAGACATAAACAGTATAAATGTGAGAAATTTAACAGAGTCTCTGAGTTTAAACTTGCAGGGGTTGTGAATGAATTCTTTTGTTAGGAATATCCCAACCAGTTAGTGAAAAATCCCTGAACGTGTGAGGAAAGTATATTTCTCCATGATTCATTTGTATCTTGGAGTGAGTACTGTGAATCATGTATGAAAACACAGTCTGACAAAGTCAGCTTTCATTACAGTACACAAACACAGTCAATAGTATAAGTAAAAATAATATATTAAAAGTTTCATTCCAACAAAATAAAATGCAACCCACCATATGAGAGAATATGTTTATCAATATATCTGATAAAAGTATACATTTTTGATGTCAAAATTTTATAAAGTACTTGCAAAGCCCAACCCCCCCCCCCCCCAAAAAAAACATTAAAAAATGGGGAAAGGACTTGAATAGACATTTCTCCAAGGACATATGGTTGGCAAATAGACATATAAAAAGATGCGCTATGTCACTAATTATCATAGAAATGCAAATTAAAACCACAGTGAGATACCACCTCACACCAGTCAGAATGGCCACCATAACTAAAACAAGAAACAAGTACTGTCAGGTTGTGAAGAACAGGGAACACTAGTATACTGTTAGTGGGTATGCAGATTGGTATAGCCACTGTGTAAAACAGTATGAAATTTCCTCACAAAACTAAAAATGGAACTGCCTTTTGACCCAGCAATTCCACTGCTGGAATTATATCCTAAGAACACTGAAACACCAACCCAAAAGAACTTATGCATCCCAAGGTTCATAGCAGCACAATTTACAATAACCAAGTGTTGGAAGCAAACTAAGTACCTGTCAGTAAATGAGTGGATCCCAAAACTATGGTACATTTACACAATGGAATACTATGCAGCAGAAAGAAAGAAGGAGCTCCTACCCTTTGCAACAGCATGGATGGAACTGGAGAGCATTATGCTAAGTGAAATAAGCTAGGTGGTGAAAGACAAATACCATATGATCTCACCTATAAGTGCAACCTAAACAACAAAACAAATAAGCAAGCAAAATGTAAACAGAGACATTGAAATAAAGAACAAACTGATAGTAACCAGAGGGGAGAGGGGAGAGGATAAAGGGAGAAGAGAGAAAATGGTTGTCAAAGGACTTGTATAAAGGACACATAGACAAAGCCTATGATTGAAGGTGGCAGGTGGGGATGGCTGGGTTTGGTGGGAGTGGTGGGGGAAAATGGAGACAGTTGTACTTGAAAAACAATTTAAAAAGAAAGAAAAAAAGATCTATTCACAAATTTCTTGATAGCGCACCATTCAAAAAGTGAAGCCTAATTCCTCTCCCCTTAAATGTGGGCTGTCCTCAGTGACTCCCTTCTAACAAACAGAATGTGTATAAATCTTTTACCTCCAGATTAATTTGATCTGAAACTATTTAATAACAAGTTAAATTATAAATGAAATGCAGTTTCCTCATAGGACTGTTCACTGCTGGTCTACAGAATTGCTACTGAATTTTGTATGTTGATCTTCTATCCTGCAACTTTTCTAAAATCATTAATTAGCTCTATTAGGGTAGCTTTCATATAGATTCTCTAGGATTTTCTATGTATATATATAATTATGTCAGCTTTGAATAGAGGTGATTTCACTTCTTTTTTTCCAATTTGAATTATTTTTATCTCTCTTTCTTGTTCAATTGCTCTGGCTAAAACTTCCTTAATAATGTTGAATAGCAGTGGTAAAAGAGGGCAAACATTTTGTGTTCCTGATTTGAGGGAGAAAACTTTGAGCCTCTTACCATTAAATATGATGTTAATCATGGGTACAAAGATTTTGAGCTACATAGGAAAGCCATTTGTGGTTTGTCCCCAGAACCAGTACTATTGTGGACAATGGGGTCAATTTCTTGCTTAAAGAAACTTCTAGGGTGTTATACAAGTTCTGTTTCTTGGCCTAGGAGCTAAATGCAAAGGTATGTTCTGCTTTAAGTTACGTACTTATTATCTGTACACTTTCCTGATATAAGATATATTTCAATAAGTAATTTATAAAAAGTAAGTGTCATAGGTATTAGACTTCCAATGAGAAAAAAGTCTGTGAAATGAAAGTAAGGTCTGTGAAGCAGCCCTTACTCTCTTATTTTTCTCATTTGAAGCATTCTGTGATGACATCTTCAAGCTGATTTTAATGTCAATTTTTCCCTTCTCTCATCACTAACCTGAACACCTATACTAGTCATGGTGTTGACTATTTAGCTTACATTAGGTTACCCCAAATGGTGATAGTAAAGGACTTGAATACAATTTTAATATTTGACTTGAATCTAGCACTTCAATTCCTTACTCTTATTTATGTTATATAAAAAGATATAAGTGCCCATCATTTCTAATTTATATCAGAAGTTGATATATTTATGATTTTGCTATAGATATCTGATTTTCCTAAATATTTGCGAAGCATTTTCAAATGGACAATTGTGCACATGTGTAACTTTTTACTATATATATATATATATATATATATATTTGAGTACATATATATGTGTGTGTGTATACACACATATACATATATGAATATCTAAGAATAAAATATATGAAAGGGGGAGGCTTTGGTATACTTGAAGTAAACAGATATGTTAAATAGCTGGCCTCTCACATCTCCCCAAAGTCCCAAATGACAAACGTTTACTGATTTTGAAAATATTACAAAATAACCACTCAAACAAACACTCAGAGCTCACAGTCACTCAGCCAAGGAGCTTACCTACAACTTCCCTTTTTTCAGTGTGAGTGGATGTCATCTCGGATAACAGCCACCAGCTGACCTCGAGCATCACCAGTGTGCCATCTTGTGGGTTATCTAGGAGCAGTTTTGAAAATATTAAACTCTAATGGAAACAGCACTTTCTTTACAATATGCTTACATATTAAAATTACCTGACCAGATAAATGAAATAAAATCTTTTAAAGGGTTTTCAAATCGTGAACAGTTCAAAAATAACTAAACAGTATGAAAAACCGAAAAATTAAGTGATACCCAGCACATCCTCTAACCACAAAGTTTGAAGTTAGAAATCAACTGCAAGAGGAAGTGGGAAAAACACAAATATGAACAGAAAAAACAACAAGCTACTTAAAAAAAAGCTGGGTCAAAGAAGAAATAAAAGGTGAAATCAAAATATATATAAAAACAAAGGAGAATGGCAAAACATCATATCGAAGCTTCGATTAAAATTTTTTTGAGAATAGCCACAATGGGCCTGTTTATTTTTTAAAAATTCTTGTTTATTCTACTACAGTTGTCACATTTTTTCCTTTTTCCCTTCTTCCTCCAACCCAACCCCCACCCAACAGCCCATCCCCACACAGTTGTCCTTGTCCCTGGGTCACTCAGATGTGTTCTTTGACTAATCTCTCCCCCTTCTTTCCACCAATCTCCCTCTACCCTTTCCTCTGGCAGCTGTCAATCTGTTCCCTGTTTCCATGTCTCTGGTTCTGTTTTGCTTCTTACTTAATTTTCCTCATTAGATTCCTCTTAGAAGCCACATCATATTAAAATTTGGGGGGTGCAGAAAAAGTGGTAGCAAGAGAGTAGCTTATATCATTATAGGTTTGTATCAAGAAATGAGAAATCCCAAATAAATAACCTAATATAGTATCTTAAAGAACTACAAAAAGAAAAACAAAAAGAGCCCCAACTCACCAAAATAAAGAAAATAAAATAAAAAGTGAAGCACCCCTAGATGAGGGGCTGGGTAGGGAGGAGTATTGTCCTGTACAACAAAGGGTCATTTGTTTGATTCCTAGTCAGGGTACATACCTCGGTTGTGGGTGAAATCCGCAGGTAGGACACATAGGGGGGCAACAAGTCAATGTCTGTCTTACATCAATGTTTCTTCCTCTCCCTGAGTCTCCTTCTCTCTCTCTCTCAAATCAATAGGAATACTCTCAGGTGAGAATTGGGACAAAAAATAAAAATTAGAGCAGAATTAAATGATATAGAGAAAAGACTATACAAAGATTAATGCAACAAAGAAATGGTTCTTTGAAGAGACTAATAAAACTGAAAAACCTCTGGCAACAATTTGCTAAAGAAAAGAGAGAAAAGACTCAAGCAAAATCAGAAATGAAAAAGAAGTTACCACAGAAACTACAAGAAATGCAAAGGATCATACAAGGATACTATGAAAGACTCCATGACACCAAGTTAAATAATGTAGAAGAAATGGGTCAGTTCCTAGAAATACATAACCTCCCTAGAGTGAATCACGAGTAACTGGAAAATCCAAATAGACCTATCAACAGCGAGAAAACTGAGACAACTGCCAAGAAATTCCCCAAAAGTTAAAAGTCCAGGACCAGAGGGCTTCACTAGTAAATTACACAGGGCACTCAAAGAAGACTGGATACCTATTCTTCTCAAACTCTTCCAAAAATGTGAAGAACAGGCAGCACTTCCAAAAACATTTTATGAGCCCAGCATAACCCTGCTACCAAAATCTGGCAAGAGTAACACACACAAAAAAGATAACTACAGACCCACATTTCTGATGAACAATGATGCAAAAAACTAGCAAATGAAATGCAAGGATACATTAAAGAGATGACATTTGATATAACACTGATCAAATGTGGCTCATTCCACACGTAATAGGATGGTTCCAACATATGCAAACAACTCTATTTGATACACCACATTGATGAACAAAATAAAGGATAAAAATTATAAGATCATATCAATAGGTGCCCAAAAGGTACCTGACTGGATACAACATCTATTTATTAAGAAATCACTCAACAAAATGGGTAACAAGGGAAGCACACAACCTAATAAAAGTTATATATGACAAAGCCTTGCAAATATCCAATAAATGGTGAAAAGGTAAAAGCTTTTCCTCTAAGCTCAAGGACAAGACAGGGATGTCCACTCTCACCGCTAGCATTCAACACAGGACTACTGGAGGTCCTAGACAGAGCAATCAGGCAAGAGACAGAAATAACAGGCATCCAAACTGGAAATGGAAAAGCATACTTGCCATTTTTGTAGATGATATGATTCTTTATGTAGAAACTGTAGAGACCCCATCAAAAAACTGTCAGAAACAATAAAATGATATAGTAACCCACATACTTTTTTTTAATCAATTTTTTTATTCCCTCCCCACCCCCCCGCCCCCCCCCCCCTCCCTCCCCCTCCCCCCCTCACCACTTGACCTTACATCCTTCCCCCTCCTCCCTCCCCCTCCGCCCATCGCTTTTTTTTTTTCTCTTTTTTTTTTCTTTTTAAATACAGCCTACTTCCAGTCTCAGTAACCCACATACTTAAATGATATTTAGGATTAGGCAATTTTTTTTGTAAATAAGTTGGAAAGAAGAAAACAAAGAGAGAAGGAAGTTGGAGCAGTAGGCTGACAAATTACCTTTGTGCCTGGCTCTAAGGAGTTCATGTCCTTTTCAGGCAGTAGGAAGCTAACATGTTTTAAGCAGTAGAATAAAGTGACCATGTTTGGTTTGCAGAAACCATCTGGCAGAGGTGTAGGATGGACAGAGTGGGAGGAGTGGAAAGTGAGAAGACCATGAGGAAGACTTGTGTTGTTAGAGGAGAAACAATGAGGGTCTGAAGTAAATGATGGGGTCTAAGTTTATGGCAATTAAACCCAGAGCATAATTTGCAAAAGATTCTTTTGGAAAGGAATGGGTACAAATGGTCTACCTCATGAAAATTAGAACCCTGAGCCCTGACTAGTGGGGCTCAGTTGGATAAGCATCATTCCCCAAAGCCAAAGGTCACAGGTTTGATTCCTGATCAGGGCATACACAAAGGTTGCAAGTTCAGTCCCTGGTTCTGGGCATGTGCAAGGACAACCTATTGAGAGTTCTCTTTCAAAACATGTCTCTCTCCCTTCCTTTCTCCATCCCTTCCCCTCACTGTAAAAAAAATTAAGAAAACTGAACTTTAGAAGTAAGTAAATATAATAAAGTGAAATAAGTACCCTGAGATGTTCTCATAAGCTCCATCCTCAGATCTTTGTGTTCTCGGGGTTGTCTTTGAAAATCCTTCAGTCCTTCAAGCCTTGTCAAAGGAAGGGCATCAGAAACACTTACTGAGAGAAAATAGTTAATTTCCTAAAAGAGAAATTAGTTAAAAATGCAACTACTTTTGACATTTATTGGTTAGGTCTATGAAATAAAACTCAAAAAACCCCAGTAATTTCCTTTGATAAACACTGACTCGTCTCACTGTCACTGCCAAACAGATTAGAAGGAAATGGTTTCTTCCATTTCAAATCCTACAGTGTTTTAGTTTGAAATCTAATAGACTCCCTCATGATCGCATCATTAGAATTTAAGAATGTTATGGTATACTCAGTGAGAGAGAAAAGCTAAATTTCTATTTGTTTACTACTGTAGCTTTAGTTTTAGATCTTAACATACTCACATGTATTTTCATTTGACGCATAGCAAAATATAGAGTATAAGTTTTAAATACAATAAGATTTATAAGAAAAATATACCTGAACATAATTTTGAAATTCATAAAGGTTAAAACTGAACTGATATTCCAAAAACCCTTTAAAGTGTTAAATATCTATAATTCAAACAATAAATTTTCCCTCAATATCAGATGTTGACTTTAAGATATGAGTGGACCTGATGCATATGAAAATCAAGCATACATTGTATCACCTCTTCAATATTCAAATTTAAATGTTTATCAAGAAACTTTGATATTTATACTTTTACTACAATGCAAGAAATTATATTAAGACTCAGATTTTTTTATTTGTGTTGAACTTATGTTGTCCTTTCATCACAAGTCCCTTTAGTAGGTGTTAACTTTAGTACCATCCTTACAGTAGTTACTGCTGTGCTGCACACCGGGCTCACTAGGGAGAAGCTCGTATGGCACATCTGTACAATGGGAAGGCCTGATGTAGAAAAACAATTAAGTTCCAGGAAACTCCTTTCACATTAATTCATTCAAATGTCATTTTAATTCAGCAACTCTAATTCTACATGGTTTAACATAAAAGTCACTTTTTATACCCAATTCCCTTAAACCTGAAAAAGACAAGTGGCATTAGCAAAATGGCAGCTCTTCTCCCAAAAGAGACATGGAAAAGCAAGCAGAACTATGAGTTTTTTTCTCTTTTGAGTGTTCATTTGTTTTTGCGTTGCACAGGTAAGTAAAATACATTTGTCTTTCTCTGTCTGACTTTGGCATACTATCCTTTAGGTTTACCCATGTTGTCACAAATGGCAAAGTTTCACCTTTTTTACAGGTGAGCAACATTTGTGTGTGTGTGTGTGCGTGTGTGTGTGTCTCACTCTCCTTAATCCAGTCATGTGTAGATGAACACTCAGGTCACTCCCATTTCTTGGTTATTGTCAATAATTCTGCAAAGAACATAGGGGTGCATAAATCTTTTTCGATCTTTATAGATCAATAACAAGAAGTAGAATTGTTTTGTCATATGGTAGGTCTATTTTCAATTCTTTGAGAAACCCCCAAACTGCTTCCTAGAGTAGCTGCAGGGGTTCACAATCCCATCAACAGAAACAAATTGATGGTCACCAGGAAGTGGAAATAGAAGAATGGGTGCAAAAAGTTGAAAAAGACGCAGGAAGTACAGGTAGCCAGTTATGAAAATAGACATGAGGGTGTAAGGTACAGCATAGGGAATACACTCAATCATATTGCAATAACTGTATATGGTGTCGGATAGGTACTAGATGGATCACGGTGATCATTTCATGTGATACATAACTGTCTAATGACTATATGGTACTATGAGAAACCAATATAGTATAGTATATGAACTGTAATTGAAAAATAAATTTAAAAAATTTAATAAACAATGCAGCAGCTATGCAGCCTGCCATGAAAAGATCTCTAAGAATAGTATAAAATGAAAATCATGTGTATCAAACAGTGATTTTTTTAAAAAAGCATTGTCAGTAGTATTTGTTAGAACTCTGTAAATGGTCAAAGTTTACAGAAATCAAGCAATCATTTAATGTTAAAAAAAAAAAGACATCTTAAAAACTGCATAAGAGCTCTGTGGTGATCTTAGCCACCCCCTCCAAAGCTTGGCCATAGTCATGAAATCTGCATTCCCCAATTTCCAATGTGAGATTTGGAGAGGACAGAGCAGACCTCATCTCCTAATTCTTCTGTCTATCTGTTCTTAATCTGTCTGAGTGCTACACGAAGGCTGGAATAGCTGCTGAAATTGCTACTGGCATTGCTCAAAACCATGAAGCTAGCTCACAACCCACTGCTACCTGGAGCAAAGACTATTGTTGAGGCATACCACAGATTGCCTAACACCTGGGAGGAAAAGTTAGGGAGGGAGCTTTCTTGGAAAATTAGAGCACTCAAAATCACCCATATATTTGGGGAATTTAGAAGGCCACACAAGTGCCTAGGGTAAGAGCTTGCTCAAAAATTACCTCTGAAGACTCAAGCTTTCAAGCATTGGGCTCAGTCCCTCCAAAAACAGGTGCAAGCCTGGCTAAGTGCTGAAGGAGAGTCTTAACACAGCTGGAATCTGCAAAGGTCTTCAAAAGGTTTGCTCTCTATTTTTCAGCCTCCTGGTAATCAAGGAAATCTCTGTCAAAAAACACACCCTGAACATGGAAGTTAAGGAACAGTCTTTAGGGACCAGGCACAGCAAAAAATACATTCTCTGTAAAAAAAAAATTGAGGCACTTTTGAAACAGATGGACGAACTACTATAGCCTTCCAAAAAATCACAAAAAAATGAGGTCAAACCCTGCACAAGGGGAAAGTCTGATTTCCACAGGTACAGTATAACAGTCAAACATCCTGTTTTCTCATGAAGACTATCACAAGGCATTGGCCAGTTAGGAAAGAAATTAGGAAACTATAGCCCATTCATAGTAGCAAATATACTGATGGAAATAGTTCCTGAGCAAGTTCAGATCA